ATATACATATATATATATCCATGGGTTTAGGTCCCATGGTAACGTGTAAATAGGTCAACAAAACATAGGCTGTTATCAATAAATCATAGCAATGTATAGAGGCATGTAAATTGTTTGTATTCCTGCCGCTAACATCCTCCTTATTCCTTTCTGAATGGATGCATCCTCAGTTCATACCCATAATCTAAATTCGCCTAACACCTCCAAATGAGGAATGCCGTATGTCCCTCTTTTAGTTTACTACAATTCATGATATGCAGAATGAAAAATTCGGTTCTATTCACACATATCTGTTATTTTCAGTCCCTCCTCATGATTCAATAGTGGAATGTTGTGTTAATCTCTATTATGTATTCCTTGTAATATATTATAAGAGCTCCCAGAATTCCTTCACAATCTTCGTCTCCTTTGGTATCATAGATATTTGAGGGTAATCACAATCAGCTGTTTTATCATTATTCTTGTCATCGCCTATTGATTCCGGCCTGGTTGTCACTGACATACCTTGATTGTGTTGTATACTCTGTTGCTTTACATACGGACGTAATACTGGTACTTCTCCGTTTCTTTTCCTGTTGAATTTTACCCATAACAGCTAATCCTCCTGAACAGGTTAATCAAACCCCGCTAGCACATTCCTAGCACTGAACGTCTCGCGTAACCGAACAAGGGGAATTGTCATATATCCTGTTGTCCCCCCATTCTCTTGTAGGGCGAAGTATGCTTAACTTTTACTATTCACCCGCATACTTCTCCCCATTTAGTGAATCTCCTTATTTGAAATTGATTTCTTCTTTATTTAATATTAAAGTGATGTAGTGACAAATTTAACAGTTTCATTAACACTATTATAAGGTGCTCACCTGATCTCAGAACTCACTATCCAGAAGGGTATCTCCTCTAACAGAATATCAGATTCACATGAATGAGTATTGTGTTATCAAAATAAATAATTATAAATTTCTTGAGTTAATTATTAATCGAATACTTAGCGGAAATATCTCTCACAGCTTGTGTCCAGTTGCAGACAATTTTGTATCCTGAAAAGACACTTCCTGTTACCTCGGCTTCTAGTTTGCCCTTCTACCTTCACGCAACAATCAGTACACATCAATGAAGGACATGTCGACTATTGCAAAATGTATCAGAAGAAAAAAAAAAGAAAGAAATCACAAAAGATACACACACACCCCTGAAGAGAACTATCCTTTGAAACTCACCATGTGTACGAAATCAGCATTATATTCTAATTTATGGGTTATGACAATGCGCAATATCCCTTTCGGTACACCGACGTGTTGCGTGTGCGCTATCAGTACTACTTAGAAGCAATATATTACCGTTATGCCACTTATCAAGATAATATTACCACACACACATAGATATATATGTATACATACGTATATATAGGTATATGTATCATTGTAACAATCAAGGAAAAATTACTAAAATCTGCAGTGATATGAAGATGCGGCTTCACTCCCAGTAATCTTTAAGGTTTCTCATAACGCCTGCGCTACACAGGAAAGTCATCGCCAAAGGAGTAATGTGTCTCAATAGACATAAAATCTTACTTATAAAAAGATGCTCCTTTTTTGTACAATAGAACACATACACGTTCCGAGCAGAACGCCTCTGCAGGAGAAATATGCCACAAAATTGTTCTTTGTATATGATCCGCCCTAGCTCCTGCATTTATCTTTATGTGTCTTCTCCCTTTTCCATGAATAGAATGTCACCATAGATAGACAACAACAGAGAGAAACCCTCTTCATCATGAATACCAGGAGAAGATATATTTCAAATATGTAATTTTACACTAATGCTACAGCTCGCACGGAACCGCTGTGTTCCTATTTCCCCTTACTTATTCTTTCTATTATGTTTAGTGGAGTTTTATCCTTAATGGATTATATCAAGTGTTCATCTTTTCTGTATATATAAATATGTGTCACTTCTCTCAAATTAGATACAAGTATAAACGATGCATGCCATATTAAAACTCGCATCTTTCATATTCCTATGAATAATTAAAAATCCTTTCATTCCTATATGACGTTACGGAAACAGTGTGTATAACGCGGGAACGATTTATTATAGACATCAGTTCCACACATCGAGTACTATCAATACTTATTATTTATGTAAAACATGAGGAGACACATATGATATGAACGTCTTGAAGCATCTCGGCATTGTGTATTTTCTAAAAAGTTTTTCTTATTAAAATAAATAAATATGCGCACGTTGGCATGGTTTTAATCTCAAAATGGATTCCATCCATATGAGGAAAACAAATCACTGTACGCCCCCATCAGACACGGAGTCTTTCTTGCGAAATCTTATGTAAAGACAATAATATTTAACTTGTCAACGTAGATTTCATGTATCCTTTCTCAATCAGACCATTCAATTCCTGTGCTAATATAAACGCAGTCGTAATGTCCAACTGTTTAAAACAAATTTTTCCTGTTATCCTCGCCTGGTGATATAATTATACCATGTTAACAGCAGCCTGCATGTTTCCCTTAAGGAATTCGCAATGGTGCGTTCGTCAGTGTCTACTTCCATGTTCAGAATGCACATACGATTATTGACAGTTGTTCTGTATAAACAGATTTAGACCTGTTCATATTTGCCAGTGCACTTCCCTTTTGCAAACTACGTCTGGAAGCCATCTCAGTGTCGCGGAGATGAGACAGGAAAAAAACAGAACTAGAAAAATGCTGCTCCATATCTATACCAATCAGGGCGCATACATAGATGGCATCACAGACAGAAATGTTAACCCTTTCTATATTATGAGACAGAACCGACTCTAACCATAATTTCTGTCACAATATCCGCACTTCATTGGAACTCTTTCGGCTGTTCAAAATTGTTTCTCCTACATATTCCATCCATACTTACTAGACTAAAACTTAATACTTCTTAAATATAAATACCTTACGATGCTACACCTTACATGTCAAACAATACAACAACTGGTGTACTAGGGGCCAAGGATTATCCAACTAATTGCGTTGCACATCAGAAGAATATAAACTGTCATCCGAACATTTGAATATAATACAGGTTACATAGGACTCTTTACACCATGAACCAGATAATGTTATCTCCGCCCCTCCAGGGGGGGAATTTTATAATAGGACTCATGACTCCTGTTTTCGTCCTTCAGAATGTCCACAAAAATAGATTCAGTTACGTAATGAACAAGTGAAGAATAATAAGAAATGACTTTTTCACAGGAGGCGGACAGTACCTTGGGGGACTGCCGCATATTACTCAGTATTGCGTAGAAACTATATGTTTACGGATTTTTGTCTTGTGATCCATTTCTTTCGATGAACTTTAGTATTAGTTGTACATAGAGTAATCGTAACATATACATAGTAGTCAGGAAAATATGGGACACTGTAAAGCGTTTCTGTTTTTTATGTTTTGTCGCATGTTTCATTAGGTGATGCTCTGTGGAAATCTCAAAAAAGGTTCAAATCGGTGAAACATTTTTTCTCCGCAATATAATAGGTTTTTACACTTCATTGATTCTTCCCCTTCGTTTACCATCCTGTTGTCATGTCGCTCGAAATATAAAATTTACGCAGTGACTTTTCCTTAGCTTGAGCTGCATAAAATAATCCCCAGAAAATTGTACCTAAGTATGAATCTATCTTGCACAGCATTCTTAATTGTGATGTCACATACCATATCATATAGACGGAAGGAGTATATTTCGTGTGGTTGACATAATTCGAAGCCTCATGTCAACAGGGTACTTTTTCGTAATTCATCATATCTCGATAGTGCATGAGATGCGTTTATACATAATGGAGCGCCCATATCCTTCCAAGGACGAGGCACTTTTCGAACGAAATTAAATCCCAGAATATACGCCTTCTATACAGTTCAATGACACGACATTATATATTTTATACTTAATCTGTTCCAATGCTTTTTCTTCCTCGGGCACGGAGGCCTCCTGTTGCGCATTATTAACAAAGGATAAATACACGTGTGTTTATTGCTCTAGCGCGCAAGAATAGTTTTTAAACATGCGTGAAGCAATTCACGATCAACAAACCACAGAAATTAATCAGAAAGAACTGAAACCCAGGAACAGGAAAGGACGGAGAACTTATAAATATCTTTTTCTATCTGAAATAAAAATGATTAACCCAGGGCTACGAAGCCGCCTTATATGCGGTATCTATATTTCATTTTTCGATTTTGTACAGATTAAGAGTTTATTTTAAAATTTTCGATAAATGCATATGTGATGTCTGAAGGCCGAGATTTTTACCACATGCCGTATCATGACATAGCACGTACTGTATAATAGTACAATTTTTTTTTCTTTTTTGGCAGGTGCCTCTCAATTTGAATATACTCTTCTATAGAGAAGTAACCAATAGGCTACGTCCTATTTCATGATCAAGGAACTGACTCTAATGGACATGGCTGCCTCTTCCGCACACTTTATGAATATAACACGGCTTTATAGAAGATACCTATGTTCCTAATACGATTGTTATTATGTTATTGAAAAGACACGCTGCTTTCCATATATGAAAACGTAGCAAAGTAAAGTGCAGACTTTTCCGAAACAGTATTATTTGGCCTAGCACATATAATATACATAATCACACCATTATTCCAACTACTTCTTCATGACATCTCCGCAGTGTTGAAATTTTTTTTTTCATAAAACAATATGTATCTATTACATGATATTCCTTAACATGCACACATCATCCCGAAACATATCAGGGATGGCAATGTGATGTAAAACAAAAAGGTAAATATAATACACAATGTAATATAGGCAGAATTATTAGTTCAGAATATTTACCTTTAACCGATATTATCGACGTAGCATTAGGCACGGGGAACTCCATGCGAGGTATATAAAACTAGATTTCCTACGCACCTGAATAATAGTAAGGAAGTGTACAACGATAATAACAAACAGATCAAACGTGTTCATTCAAACAATATGCTGGGGGATTTAACACACTACTTCATAAATCTTTTATCACAACCTTCACCCCCCAAGAAAACCCAAGAGACATGTGTTATGTAAATATGTAGAGTTTTCTGGCCACTTATTTCACCATTACTACATGTTCTGGTTTTCTTAGGAATCCTCACTACTCATACGAAACAATAAGGAAAGGTCTAATGAGAGCCGTAGAACTGCTTTGCATACTGTGTGAACTGGAATGGGCACACGTTCTTCGTACTTGACTCCTGAATGAAAAGGATTCCTCTTGCGACTTTCATTACATCGGCACAAAGGAACACAGTGCCTGCATACGCCAGAAACCCTTATACCGAATAAAAATCTTATACGAACAGCAACTATTGATACATCTTCATCCGAACGGAACTTTACAGCAGTTACTCCGTCTGACAATATCTTTCAACGCCTAGATTATTATTGAAAACTTCCGTGAAATCTTGCCACCCCAAATGAGAGGACGTCACCCATGGAAAAATTGTCAGAGCACCGGTGAGAATTCTGAAATATTTAAGAGCACATCTGAAACCTGTCAGCTCTGTAAAGAATCAAATTTTGCAGCAGGTAGGAATGCAGCAATTTCAACTTCTCCTGGAGTTCTCAGCGTTGAAAGATTGAAATCAATGACCCCGGGGGTGCACACCAAAAATATAAATGTAAAATAAGTACAGATTCGGAAGGTATACTCACGGTCCGAATTATTCAATTTCCTGATATTGTACGTGCAGATTGAAGGTGTCCCCCATTCAATCTCCCAGCCGCGGATATTACCCGAAGGGCGTCACTGGCAGCTCCTTCTATGAGTAGGTTCACTGTATTTTATCCACCTTCAGCTGTCCTTTACGTATCAATTTATGCAGATTTTTCACAACTCACCACACATAAATTCCGCGCTGTGGGGGTACATAATGTCCTTAAGTGGTATGTGTGCTATCCCCTTTGTCCTTATGCTTACGACTTTTGGGACCGGGCAATGGCAATCCTAACTAAACCCCACATGCAGTGTAGCCCCACAAAGACTATATAATGATGCCATTGCCTTTATTGAGGTGTTATTTATTATCTTAACACTTGGGGGGCCCATTACACAGGTTACCTTTCTTATGGAGGTATAGATATGTGTATATATATACACACGCAAAAAATATCATTTACTGCACTGTGGTCACTATTTAGAAAACGCCAGGGAGGCGGAACCAACTCCTCGTGCCATCTTTGTCCCCTAGAGCAATACACGCCCTTAGAATCGCAGTTTCCCCTGAAACACAGAAAGCGCAAAGCCGGAAGATGAATACACATACAGACAGCAATGTGGGACCATGACTGCGAAAAGAAGATGGATATATGATATTATAGTGGCGATGTACCACTGTGCGACCCTTAACATCAATAGTTAATACGTAATTAACACATCCCCAAAAAGGTGTACACGCAAAATAAAAAACAAATACTCCACAGAAGATTCTAGATATACATACAGAACCTTTAGATGAATCAGAAAGGAAGAATGCCAATTGACAAGGGAGCATTTACTCCAGATAGTCGTGCACACATTTATGATAAATGAAGGTGTCATAGGTGAAATTACCTGACGGAGGAACGTAATCGGGATAGATGCGCACAGCTGTGGTGATTTCCACATACAAAAACATCTGTGGCATAATTTAAAACATAGATACTTGAATAGTTCTGATATGTTGAAAGAAAACAATTAATTCTACAGATTACACCAAAGACGCCAAACGGAACAACAATGCGTTCAAGAAATTGTAATGTCTACAACCAATCAATTTAACCAGGAAAGACATATTCATGTCCTACAGGGGCGAGGGCGTGTATGTAGCAATTAGGTTTCAAAACAACACATACGTATGAAGCGATATATTCCAGATAGTTCTTTTTAGAATGTTATAAGGGTCTACGAGGAGGAAACAGCCGAGAATGTGATATATGAGACGACTGATAACCCGTCGGGGACAAGATGCCATAAAGAAAAACGGGAGGTGCATAACCACGAAGTGTGTGTACTTACAGATGAAGAAATACATACGGAATTCCCGATACCGCTATTCATGATGCTACTGGATGAATACAGAGAGCAATAGGATTCACAAGACCTGAAGTTCTACATGGACGGCCACATAGGAAACTGTTTCAACGAGGAAAATATGGAAACGTCCCCAAACATAGGAGATACACACAGAATTTTTCTTGGGATGTCCAGAAAAAAACACATTGAGTATAAAGCACAGATATTAACAAGCCACCTATAAAAGAAGACGAACGAACAATAACAGGAGAGCTCACACCAGCCTGATAATATCGTACCTGGAGCAGAACAACTTCAAAGGCAAAATATAACGCGCATACTTACATGTTACATTGGAATGGTGTTCCTAGAGATGCCCTAGATTGAGATGACCTAAGAGAAGTCTCATAATTACAGAGTACAGGAAGATGCGAACCACCCGTACCAGGAAAACGAAGGGGACACGTCCTTCCAAAAACACGGACAGGAGGTATTTGAAATAGTTAACACATTAGGAACATAAGCACCCCCAATGTTTGGCACAATTACAATGGGGAACACATGTGAAAAGCAACTAACCAATTGCTACTCATCATCTGAGGAATGTATCTGATTGCCGCGAAATATTTCATCTACCATTATATGCCCCATTCATCCTGAATATGGGGGTAGACAAATTTTCCTAACATACAGGGGAGAAAAAATGTCCAAGTGGTGAATGCATAATTTCCTATTTGTAATAATCCCCCTAGAAGGATCTTGAGAGTAGTCCACTCGTGTGTCCTCTTAAATATTCCTTATACATAACAGCCTAGACACATAAGGAAGAAGTTGAAAGACATTATTCTCCATCTCTTTTATTTACTGATAAACATGGCATATGGAATTCTGTATTCCCTCGCACCTAACAAATTAGGCCACACTTTTCTATGACACACACACAAACATGAAATTTATACAAGATGCTCACTCTCATCCGGATGCTTCTGCACGAAACAGGGCAGGACTCAGTCAAGACACCGCAGTAGGAATCACACATTGATAAAATATCCTTAGAGAGAAAATCATAAGTTAACAGTAGAAAAAGAAGAAGAACAAGCATATATAAGTACCACAGCATTCTCGAAGGCCATGAGGTCCCATACTTACATATCAGATCAGTCTGCCTTAAAGTTGTAATTACAAAATGGCCTATCATTCATTTATCAACGTAAATAAAAGTTATGCCATTTTTTGGACATATGTACTGTACTAATGAGAGAACAATTAATGTATGTATTACTGAAAGAATTGAGGGCCTTCCTAGTAGGATTGAAAAAGGAGGAACTTTCTGCTTATATCTTTGCGAAACGGGATTCATCAAATTTGACACGGAAAAGGAACATTTAGAAATATGGTATTTTAGGAACAGGCCTGTCTTTCCCTAAGTAGTGATCATCATATAACCCATCAGAAAGGATACCACCGATTTTGTCAGCATCCCTGTTTCATCCTACCAGCATATATATATTATGGTAACCACTGCATTATATCGAAATGTTTTAAATCACAGGGTGTCCCCTTTTTTCCGATAGGACAAAGCAAAACAAGATGATAAAACAACAACTCCTCGAAGTCCGAAATCGGACCCCTCCCTGTTGTCTATGGGTTACTTTGTCTGGACCACTCCTTATAAGGAATGGACATCCCAACAAAGACGATGTCTAACGAGGGTCATTCGATACACTGACTCAGGAATCAATCCATATTAGACAAAGACGATTCCTTACATATAATTATGCGAACAAAAGGGGTCCATCGACTATCTCACTTGGGGCAATCTGAGTCCTCTAAGAACCAGACAGTTGATGCTTCATTAATAATTAACGGACAAACAGACTAATAAAACGGAAGAAGGTAAAGATATTAACACACTGTAGACTGCATAACAACATACTTGAAGACATAACATATTCCTCGGGGGATAACTAACATATGGAAGTAGGGTAATCATAGACGGGACATAACCCCTTAGTGCACCCAGGTGCAAACACAGGGTCTAACTCAAGGTTATCTGCGACGAGACTCAAGTGGCTGGGACGGACGTCATATTAGTATTGGTTGTTTCTTAACCCTAAATCCTACCCATCATCCAAAAGCCCGAAACCCTGAACCAGACATATACTCATACTCGCCCAATGTGCCCCCGCTTCCTATTCTAGGCCGGAACATGAAGGACTGAAATATTGATCCTGTTCCCCCCTGAGCCGTTCCCGACACCATAATTCATTTTGTCTCCCCTTCTGAAGGCCCCTTTTCCCCTGTCCCGATGCCTCTGCGGGCCACAAACCCGAAATATGCCATACCCTGCTGCTATTCCAAGTATCAAAACGCCGAATATCCCACCCACAATGCTCCCCACGCTGCTCTTTAATCCCTGGCTAGTGTCTTCCGCCACTGCGGTATCCTTTAAATTCCCCTTGCTCCCATTACTTTGCGCATTATACACCCCTGAATCTTCCTCCTGCTCTGAACCTAGGCCAATAGGACGCGGGCGTTCGGGGGTTCCTGTTCCACTTTCATGACTCTCATTGGCGCTAAGTTGCGCAGGGGGCCTCTGGCTTCCGCTTTGGCTCCCTCCTGCTTCTGCCGCTTCCTGACTGGTCTGTAAGGCTTCGGCCTCTTTTTCCCTGTTTTTCTCAGGCTGGAGACGCTGAAGGACCTTTTCGGTTCCTATTGCTCCCGGGGACATTGCTTCTACTTCGTCGCTCTGTACGCTACGCGCCACGGTTACGATAGGAGGCTGGCTGCTCCCGGGGGGGGTTGAATGCGGACTGGTCATTGGCGGCGAAAGGACTTCATCCTTATTTTTAACGCCTACTGTATCCCTACTGAACCATAATGCTGAGACGTCAGGAGGGGAAGTTGTAGTCTTGTCACATTCCAATACATCTCCTTTCAGTTTACAATATAAGCTAGGCCTACTCCCCTCCACCCTCCCTGATGATTTCATCCACTTGTTTATTTGATATGGACCACACTTTGAACATACTGCTGTTAGGGCCTCATATACTGTCAGTATTAAACCCAGACTTGCCCCCTCACATTCTTCAGATGCCTTTCCATGGGTACATTGCTGGGTATCTACGCCAGTGCTTGGACCGCGCTCCCCCTCCCAATTATTCCATTGGTGTTCATAGACTGCTAATCCCTCATCGACTTTGGCACATATTTGTTCCCTTCCTGGATATCTCTCCCCTGAACTTTTGGTGATATCGGTTAATCCCGTTATTAGACAAACTATTACGATGAGAACTTTCCTGGTCTGTTCATTTTTATCCCACTCCAACGTGTCCTCTGAGGGTTCCGCCAATATCTTATACCATTCCGCTGGAGTCCATAATTTTGTCCTCCTAGACCCGGTCTGATGTGCCACGATATTTCTCTTGATTTGGTCCATTATTCTGTGGATTATGTCTCCCCACGACATCACCTGCCCGTTCATATCCTTTATTTCTGTATCTACCTCAGGACTGAAGCGGTTGGCCCATTCGGAAGATTTATTATCTAATAAGGTACTGTTCAACCACTTATCCAGACCTTGCCATCTTGACACACCTTTTTTGCTTAATTGCGGATAACAATACTTCTTGGAGGTATTCAGTTCACACATTCCTACTGAAGGAGTCTTGAAATTCCAAGTTCCTCCGGCGTTTTTCCAATGAGATAACTTCCAGGAGGTATTTATATAACTTGCCATGACGAAAAATCGGCTGTTGGTGGCCTCCTGCTCTTATGCATTTCTCTCAGGGACTCCCTGAGGTCTTTAGTATACTGGTTTCAACCTTCACTTAACTTAAGCGTTTAACTATACTGCTGTACTTCTTTAATCCTCCTCTTCTCTTTCACTGGTTAGATGAGATACAGATTTCTGGCTTGCTCCGCTTTCTCTACCTGTTTTTCTTCGGAGGGCGCATTGGTGGTTAACTTTCTGCTAGTGGGCTATTGCCAACTCCTTAACTTATAGTTTAGGGTTGCTCCGGTTTCTTGTTGGGTAATGTTAACTATGGTTTGTCCCAGCTGCTTTTATACGTTCTTCTTCTGCGTGGGGCTGTTGTCTTCCTTATTCCTTCTGGGGGTTTCCGCCTCTATCCCTAAACTTTGGAAGGTACTTGTCGGCTTCCTAACCTGTTGCCTGTTTGCCTTGCTATTTTATTCGTCTAGGCCCATTGCTTAAATTGCTACTTCGGTCAGATGTAACCTGCCTGTTGGGTCATGGAGAGTGTTCTCTATTAAGCCTTAGGCCCTTATATTTCTATAGGCCTCAATCAACTGCGTGGGGGTCCGGTTCTCCTACGCTGGATTTATCCCCTGTTGACTTAAGGCACGGCGGGGGGGGGGGTTAATGCTCGTAATGGATTGTTCCCCTGGTGCAGTGGATATGCTATTCACCGTCGCATATTATTGCGCACTTGGGGTCCTTCCTTTCCTAAAGGTATATTTTTGGGGACCCCTGTGGCATAATAGGATTCGGCTGGGGTCCTTGCACTGCTGCGACTTCTGTTTAATGTAGACGCCCTAGGGCTCAATACATTTCAGTTTTCTCTTCTGGTGAAGTCTCGAGAAGGCTCGCTGTTAATTTCTCTCCCTTGGCTTCAATTTGGGGGATACTTTAAGCCTGCGGGGTTCCTGTTATTCGTTGTTACTAATTTTACCTCTGCTTCCTCATTCATTCTCCTTTGCATCTCTGAGCGGGGACAAGCCATGAAGTACTTTCGGTTCAGTTCCACTCAAGCGCCTAAATTGCCATTCATTCTAGCCTTGGTCTTCATTCAGAGGTAGGGGGTGCTGCTCATTTTTCGCTGATTTCCCCCGTAGGGAGGTTATTCACAAACAGGTACTCTGGGAGGGGACTTCATAGGGGGGACGGAGTGGATCATTTCTATAGTGTGTTAAAGATCTCCATTGCGTGCCCGTTGTCCCTATATGCTGCTTTATTTGAGGGCCCTAACACTTAACCTATCTCTTGGGTTGCATATTGCTGAACCTACCACAGGTGAGCTCCTTTTTCTCTTTCCGGGTTCCTTCTAGGTTTCCCTTGGACTCTTCCTTCACTCCTTTTCTTGCATAAAAGATTCATTTGCCGTGGGGGGGTTCCTTGGGAAATCTAAAGTGGGAATATTTTCGTGAAGATACGCCGATGGGTGATTCTTATCATTATATTAATCTATTCCTAGCGGTTGACCTTCTAGGGTTTCTATACTCGCTTCCATTCACTTACCCCGTTGTTACAGGCGTGTTTGATATCATGATTCTGACTGCCTGGAAGCCTCTGTTACTCTACTCTGTCAGGGGTGGGATTGCTCAGAGATAAACCTTCCTATGCCGACCCCCTAAATAATTCCCCTGCCTCCTGTTCTCTGGACTCTATCCTCCTATACTTGGAGACTCGGTCCTAGTCGTGACTAATTGGTTTATTTCTTTAACTGCTGACTCGCTTACGCTAAATTGGGATCCCTCATATATGGCACTTATTGGAAAATTCCGGAAAGCTTCTATTAAGAGATAGACTTGTTCCATACACTGGGCGACAGGGCGCTATTAGGATTCCCGTTCTGTCATGATGTTTATATGAATTCTCTTGTTTTTTTGTAACATTACTCATATATGTGTCTCTGCTGTTTGGGTGTTTCGGGAAAATTTTTGCTTAATAAGGCGCCTTTTTCGAAATACTTCTGGGGATAAACATTCGGTTTCGGAATTTTGCGTCTATCGGCTGCTGAGGGTTGGCTGGAACTTTACTGTGCTCCCTGCTGTCTGTGCTCTAAAGTTTTTGATTCCCATCCGGTCCTTTTCCCTCCTAGCGGGAAAGGTAATCACCCCTCCTTTTAATGTCTTAATTATTTTCGTGTCCTTCCATCCTCCCTTCTTTCTTTTGTTTGTATACTTGTCCTCCTCGGAGAGTTTCCCTGAACGGTTCCGTCTGGCTCGCTTATGTTGTGTGTTGTTTCCAGTTATTTCTCCTCCTCTTCTCGCCGTTGAGTTGATCAGGACGCCGGTAGAAACTACCCTTTTCTTCCTATCTTAATCTACTTACGGTTGCTGTACTCCCCTCGTCATTCAGTGTATATTCCGGTGGCTGTCTCTAGGCTTATACTACTTCTCTCATACTAGCATTGAAGCCTACGGGTATTCTGTGGTTTGGCGGGTTGGGGGACTATTCTTACTTTTGCTGCTAATACTTCCCCTTTCCTGTTTATCCTTTCTGTGTACTCTATTTCTTCATCCTATGCTCTATTTATTCTGATTCACTCCACGGTTTCATCGGGTATAATATTCCCTGTGAACTTGGTGTGTTGTTGTTTCGTTTCTGTCAATCTTAACTCCTATGTTACCCTGTAGGTTACAGAAACTTAGGCTCTGACTTAGCTGTTCCCCGCTGGCTGTCCACTCTTCTTTCTTTCGGCTGATATTCTTTTCTTCTTCCTGACTTCACTTCTCTTGAAACGCCCGGCTGTTGTTCGTGATTTTCTATACTTCTCACTATCTGGAATTTTGTATAACTCTTCCTCTCAGGTGGGGGTTTCTCCACACATTCGTTGACTGGTAATTACTCAAATCACATTGATTCAGGTTTAGTATTGCTTGTGTTTGGCCCCAGGAATAATCACATTTTTCTGTATACCTGTCGTTACTGCCCCTTACTTGGATAGTAACCTGTCTTAATTATCCTTTTGGCTACTGAATATTTCGCACCTGGGCGGTCTGCTCCTACCTGTAAATCCTGTCCAGTCTTTAGCAGTTTCCATTTCCTTATAGCCAAATAGAACCTGTTATCCTTCATGGATTGTTCCCAGACTTCCACATGCCGGCTTTTATCTTTTTCATAACCTCTGGGCGGGGTATTGGTTCCTTCCCTGCCTTACCGTAACTTTGTCTATATTCTCCTGCTTTGATGTGAAATTGTCCTTCGATTAACGCCCCCAGTGTCATACTTCTCTTCTGTCTGGGATTCTGCTCTTCTTTGTTGCCTCCCCCCTCTCCTTAAGAGGACAAGCTTAATAACATAGTGTCTCCTGTTCTTTGGTTCATTCTATTAGGGTGCCCTGTACTAAGTTTGGCCTTCTCTTCTCAGATTCTTGGATCCACTCCTTGTTCTTCTCCAGAGGTTCCCTCTTCTCAGGATTCCTCTATACGCCTGTATTGTTGCATTCTCCTCTATGCTCTCTTTCTTCCTCCGTCTTCGGGTTCCCTGTCGTTGCGTTCCGCCCCTGGCACTCATTGCTGCCGTTTGAAATATTCCCTGTACTCGTTCCACTTCTTCGATTCCTCCCTAGCGAGGACGTGTATTGTATACTGTGCTAATGGATTCTGCTCGCTCTACTAGTCAGGTCAATGCTATTTCCATGAACATGAAGGAGTGTTCCTGCCACAATGCCTTTCTGGGCTGCATACTCCGCCTCTGGTTTTCGATTTGGATTGGTACTTCCCACTTGTCACCTTTAATACTGTGCTTCTTTCTTTTTAATCTAAAACCCCATGTAGGATGTAGCCTAATCACTGGGGCGTCACTGTGTCCTGGGATAATTTAGAGGTTTCATGGGGAACTTTTGTTCTGGGATTCATTTGGCCTGTAGCTGCTGGGGAGGGGGAATAATTTGTTCCCCCTAACTATCCTTGACCCTTACCACTCAATGACTATGGATTTCTCCTTTGCTCCATGTGTACTTTCTTCTGCTAGGTTCCCTCGGATTGGCCGCACATCTATCCACTCTGCTGTCCTTTTCATATCCTAGGAATGGTCCCTATTTTTTCTATGAACCAGTCTTAATTTAATCTTCTCCTCCCTTCTAATAGGGGTGCTTTCTCTTCCGAGTTACTGCTCCCATTAGGAATTTCCCTTGGGTCCCCTGATACAGGACAGTATTAGTCTTGTTCGATTGCTCTTTCTGATTACTGCTTCGGCCCTTGCTTTTTCTCCGGTGCTCCCTGTAATAAAACTATTTAATTCTTTTGGAACGCATTACTTCTTTGGTCATTCTTCTTGGGGAATAGACATTACTCCCTTTTTTCCTTTAATTTCTTCTCGACTCGACTCCACATCTCTGGGGTGTTTCTCTGCGGTCCCTGTAGCTTTAATTCTTGCTTTTTGCTCTGGTGTTAGGTACTCCGCGATTTGTTCCTATATTTTATGTTGCACGGTAGGCAGGTTATCCTCCCTGTTGGCTTCTTCTGTCCATAATTTTTTAATCCTTTGGATTCTTAAGGGGACAGACTATTATCACTCGCTCCCTATAAGTCTTTCCTGCTCATATAATTGGCATGGTTTTCTTATTTTTTAAAGATGTGGTTCCTTGGTTACCCTCTCACTGGAGGTTACATCTTTGGAGGGGTTCAGATTCTATACTGCACCTTCCTATCCTCTGTTGTGTATCCATTTACTCATTGTTCTTTTATGGTGCGCAGTATGCATGGGTAGGACTTATAAGCTCTCACTTTCACTTGTCACTCTTAATTGCTAACCTCGGACTATTGTTCCCGTATTTATGCCTTTGGTAGTTTTTTGGTAACATTCTTCTGTGTTGTGTTAGTGTTGTCTCTCTGTTTTCTGTTCGTGCATTTGTATGCTTTACCTCGGTTCTTCGTGAATTCTTTACTACTTTGTAAAGCGATGGCTCCTAAGGGCAGATGCTACTTGGAAGTGCTGATTTCTGTTTGGCGACTGTCTATTTTAATTTATTCTCTTAATATCACACACATGCTGACTACCTGGTTTTCCTGATATTATATACCTAATGCCTTATAGGTTCAGGTACCATCGTGAAATTACTAGCTCTGATTTCTGTTTCAGATATTATACTTGCCTGGTGATATATAGAGTTCTGTAACTAAGATCACTCAATTGCTAATTTGATTCTGTGATGAACCTTTACTTGTATTATTGAATGTAGGGGAGAATCAAATGAAGATTTAACTTTCTTGGGGGGTTTGGTAATCTTAGGTTGTGATTATTTGCTTGTTCTCTCCTTCTGGAATTACGGGGTTACTTCTCTGAAATTAACGACTGGGATGAAGGTAATCATATTCTGCTTCCATTACTTATATCTGCAGTTTTCACTTCATCCCTCTTCCCATTCGCGTCTCGCTTTTTCATCCTTGGGGGTTCTCTTGTGTTGATTTAGTCATCCTCTTCCCTGTAAGATTTTATCCCCCCTGTTTACTTCTCAGAGGCCATAATGCTATTGTGCACTCGAGGGATAATATGGGGTGGTTCCCTACTTGTGGTCCTCATGGGTTCAGAGTCAGTGTGCTCCCGGAGTGATCAGTTCACATCGGTCCCCTTTTTAGGGGTTGCTACTGATATACTATTCTGTTTCGGAGTTGGGCTTCGTGTTGGCTGGTTCCCTGCTGTTTGGATATAAGTCAATTCGTAGGCTGAGGACCTGGTTTCGTTCATTGACTACTTGTTGTGCCCTTATTTATTATAGATTTTTCCCCCTTTATAATATCGAGGCCCCTTGTGTTCTACACGTTCCTTTATTTCTGCGGGTGGGAATCTCTTCTTGCTTCGTTAGGTCATTCCTTTGGTCTTCATCTTCTGTTCGATCCTGCTTTCTTTATACCCTTTGTTCTCCTGTGCAACACACTCTGTTTCTCAAAATACGTACTTAGTGGGTCGTTTGCTTGGTCTTTGCCCTTATTAAGCCAGCCATTGCCTCTATAATCTTCTTTATCATTTCTTCCCTTTGACGTGTTAGTCCCCTGATATCAACCGTTTCGCCACCATCGGCTTCTGTGTCGTCCCCTGCGTTTATTATAAAAGGTATATAGTACCTCACTGCATTCGCATTAAAATGCTATAAAGTTGTCGCTTTAATCATGGTATAAAGGTGTCTGCAGCATGGCTTGTCTGGATCCTTCCTGCCCGATCTGTTTATTCTGCTCTTGGTTGGATGGTAGCAGTTACTTAGAGTCTGCAGGGGTTTATGTGCAAACTTAGCATTTTCCAAGAAAAATCTGAGGGCATATCTTACTGTGAAGTTGACTGGCCTATTTCTCCTGTTTCTTGTGTGGCTGCTAATTTCCCACTTGCATTTTTTTCCCGGGGCTGTCGTTATCCTTGTCTAGCCGAAACTCTGAAGACTCCTTCGCTTTATTGTTTATTTCTTTCCATAATTTCCTTTGTGTTCGTTTATCTTTGTTTGGGGGCACAAAATCTTTCTTATCAGAATTCGTCGTCCGTGTTTGGAAGTTGGTCTCGCCTACAAGGCTAGGGAATGCTCTTAGGATATTGATTCCATAAACGGGAATACTTCCTTCTTTGGAGGATAACTCAGCTGAAATCCTCATCCTACCCATCAGAGGTTTGGCACCTTGACTATTGTTTTGAGTTTCTGTTTGTAGAGACGTCCTTGCGGCCTGTTGTTTCGTTGGGCGCCGGTGTTTGACTCCTCCTTCTGTGGTGTTAGTCGTCTGAGTTGAGTTGTGCCTATCATATTAGGTTTGACACTTGTATGTCCTCTTGTGTTGGAAGGCCTGCTTATCTATTGCGGGTTCTTCAACTTTATGATTATAAGTACCTAATACTTGTCTAGGGGGGGATTATAAGTGTCCGTGTTTCTTGCGACCTGTTCTGTTGGGTTCGTGTATTGGGGGGTAGTATGGCTATCGGGTCTGCCTTGTAGCCCATCGATAGTTTTAATGGTTCTTCTCTTTTTTCCATGGATCATTGAGATGCCCACTCCTGTGCTGTTCGTCACCTCCTGTGGTAGGGGCATGCCCACATATTTTCAGACGCCTTTACGGAAGTAGCGTGCTGGTGACTCTTATTCCTTTTCCTGTTAGGGGTTAATCCTTCAATTCTTTTTGGCTTGTAGGTTGTTGTTGCTCATCATTCCCTCTGCACTATACCTCAGTTGGGCAGGGACTTTTTTGTCATGCCCTTCTTCTTTTGTGTGTCTGGAGGTGTCTAGGCGGTTGCCCATCTTCCCCTTTCGACTTCCATTTGTGTTTTTACCATTCCTCTTGGAGAAGATTGGGATTTCGCCCGGCGGTGTATTTAAGTAGGGCAGTCATCGGTATTTCCCCATTCTTTTCTTCTATAGGTTTCCCCTCCTTAATACATTATGTTCTGTTTCTCTGTTTCTGGTTGCAACAATAAATGGACGGTAGGGTCTATAATTATTAATGTACTCTCAACCCGATATTACCTCCCCTTTCCTCATGAGAGTTAATTCGCGCCTGGGATCGAGTGACGTATATATTGCTTTACCTAAGGGTCAAATTCGGCTAATAAGATTTGACTTATAATTTAATGGTTTACCATTCGGTATTACATCTTTGCAGGATTTTCATATTTGCTCATTTGCCCTTGACAGTTAGGGAGTTGTCTTAGAGTTTTATAGATTTTTAATCTTTGGATAGTCACATATTTGACACCTGTAATATTATAACGAAAGACTTCTATGTACTAGCTTCCGGGGCTTCTTGCTTTCCGATTGTACGTAAATTATCTGCTGGCGCTAATTATGAAAATATTAGATACGCATTATAGAAAATACATCATTTTTTCTTTCTTTTAATTGGTAATTTATTAGGTTTCAATAAGTGACTTGGTTCCGTATTACTTATTTGTCATTATTCACCTGCTCCCCATGGTTGTTGATTAGTGTGCACCTTTGTTATCTTTCGGGTACGTCATTAAGGTTAAGACTTCAATTCTTATTACCTTTGCTGGATTCGTTCGTATACATAATAATCCTTAACCAGTTTATTTATTCTTCCGTATTCTTGGTTTTCATTTTATTTAATAGTATGTTATATTTGGCGTACTCTGGCTACTTGGTAGTTGTATATTCCTTCTAATCAGACACGCTGGGGAGGAGTATAAATTTGCCTGCTTATTACTGTTTGAGTTTCCCTATTCGTATTATAATATCGAGAATATTCCATTTGGATATCATTTTCCTTTAGGTTCCTTGTATTTTTCGCCTAATGCTTAATACTATATAGTTTATTTCATAGTTTTCCTGATCATTGTTATTATAACGTGGAGCTCCCACCTCTGTAGGACCTAATTCTCTCGGACAGGCTTCAGTTTTGGATGTTTCTCGAATTAATAACCAGTCGTTAAGATTACAAATAATATAACATATCTTCAGTTGTTTCTTATAGATGTAATAATCATTCTTTTGCTGTTAAATTGAATTCATTGATATCTAGAAGTTATGGAATAAATATATTTATCACAAGCCCTTAATATAGTATAAGATTAGGCAAAAGAATTATACAGACTAGTTAACATAAAAGGTGAAGTGACCGCTGTACACTGGCCTAAAAACTATTTAAGTATTAGAACCTTTATCCTTAAGTTGTGCTCTATTGCTTCTGCTTAATTATATTTTGAAAACGTAACATATTCAATAAGAAACCTACAATTTCCCCGATGTAGCTTTAGTTTCCTTCGTTGTTCATCCAGTAATCATCAATATATGAACACTTTTTTAGTAGTATGTTTTATCTACCTTAGAGACTTCATAATTACTACGGTATTATTTACTTAATTTTATCAGTCCTCACACAATCCTATCTAGGGAATATTTAATATTAATATTTCCTGTAGATATCTGTATACATAACATATGGACTCCTCACATCAGTTACCATTATTATGCTTCCTTCAATATATGAATCATGAGAAAGCTGAAGTTTTATTCACTATAAGATTAACGCAAGAAGGTTATATATAAGAAGGCTTACATGTTTGAGTCCATTTTAGTAAATCAAGCATACACCAGAAGATTATTTCAACGCACTGATTGTCTCTTATATTCTTATTTGAACAAGAAGGACGCCCATTTCTTTCCTTAGAGGGGGTGCATGCTTCCTCTAAATTTCTTTCTAATTTTCATAGAAGCCTTCCTCCATGCGCATACAAATAGATATACAAAGTGAATATCGCAAATTGACAACCAATAGAGAACATTTAAAATATTCTTATCAGAGAGTGGGAAGACATTCTCTTCCAAGTTAATAGTAAACATGCTAAAAGCCAGATTGCGACTAACTATATGCTTCCTTGTTCCAAGTAGTAGCAATAAGTTACTGATAGCTTGGTGATTTGACACCTAAAAAATCAGCCGAATAATTTTTCCACAATGCGGGTATACAGTATGATATATCATAGTGATAGATATAATTTTATAGAAAGAGCATGTTTATTCAGACAGCACACAATATTAATACAGAAGGGTAATCTAACAATTCCAATATAAACGATTGATTGTCCACAATAACATTATAATAGGCATATATTGTAAGTATAAATAAAAAATCTGTCAGTTCCGTATGGACTATGAGAATGCTGCCACCTAAGGAGCGCTATTTAGATCTGTTTACATGAAGAAACAGATAAATTAACAGCACAATATTAATCTTTTCCCATTCTGACCCGGCTTCATACCTCTGTTTGTAGAAAAACAGTAAAGAGGTCTATACTATTTATCACCATTCCATCCTTCGTATTTCACAGTGCTGATATAAAAATTATGAACTCTGTTTTGCATAATAGAACATACAATACCAACAGTCATCGTATGAATATATCACAGTTGTATGTGAATAGCAGTAATAAGCACGATATCTGTCCTTGCAACTCTTATTATCCTCAATTAAATACAAAGGTTAATTTATTGGACGTCATATATACATATATTTTCTATGAGCACAGGAGGCTTCCACAACACCAGTGGAATTCATAACCGACAGCATATCTCCTCTAAGAGTGGATCCAACAGTTATGCAGTACTCTCCTATAATCGCCTGTACTCCAGAGTCATATCTACAAGTTCCTTGTAGAAGCAGGGAGTCAAGTGATAAATACAAATCATTCAACATGTGTTGACACATTTCAATAAAAACATTCAAAGACTCCTGAAACCACAAAAGTCTTGTGTACCCATCAAATAGTAACCATATCATTAAGAAAAGTTCACTAGTCACATAGAAAAAGAGGAAGGTACACATTCTAATCTGAGGGACAACTCCTGAGCGAAAGATCTTACAACAGTATGGATTAACATTAATATAGATGAATATGTGCTCTATAATTCGGCGCGTCATCGCTGCATGTATAACTCCCCGATTTTACAAATATATCCTATGGGGAGAGGATGAGAATAAAACAGCCAGGAAAATAGCCCTAGGTCAGTAAGACTGTTGCCCCTGTGTATATATCTCACAACAGGAAGCGGGCAGAGTCTATACATTGACTGTTTCGTATTTTTATATTAAGACACTTAGGATATATTGAATCTGGGCAGAATAATAAAGAATCTACAGATATATGTCTTATTATATCTTCCGAAACAGATAGGAAAAGACCTTAAAGAAGAACTAGGAAGAAAAACCTTAAAAACAGCCAGTAGGCACAAGATTACCACAGAGAAAACAACATCATAAGGTAGCTCAAAGGGAGAAGCACGCCACATGGACACCCGCAGTGGCCGATAGAGGCCATAGAAGAAAGCGCAAAGTCCAGAATATAACACCACAGGAAACAGCATTAAATGGGGAACCGTAATCAAGACACTTTAAAGGGTGATGACAGAACGAAAAACAGGGAGCATAGCCCCATAGCGATCACGCCTACACAATAGATCATACACCATAAGAACAACACGTTCAAGACCAAGTGATAGAACAAAAATAGAAAACATAAAACCTAAAGATCAAGCGATTCAGCAGGACCCAACGGATTACCAGCTGTAGAAAGTACACCTGATGCATAAGGAAGCAGCCTTCGGGAAGATACACTGAGAGATGATGGAATAAATTGCGAAACACAAGCCTAAAACGTAACAAATAGCACAGGTAGCTGAGAAAAAAACAGTACTCAGAAACTCTGTATGCCACAACTGAGGAGTGCTAGGGAAACCATATAATTCAAAACCAAAGGATAAATCCTGAACGTATCGCCTCGGCGGTATACCATAAGAATAAAGGGACGATCCTAAAACCAAGAACAGAAAAAGCCAAAATAACAAAGAACATCATAAAAGCTAATAAAAACAAAATAACCGAGAAGGACAGAGATGACGCACTAGCCATAAACAATTAAAAATACGGATAAACCATAGAAGATTCCAATAGACCCTAAGCCAAGAGCAACCCAAATAAACCATATAAACTCAAACGTAACCCAAAAATCCTGAAGAACAAAAGATAAAAACCAGACGGTGAATCCTAAATAGTGAAGACGTCAAGAGATTACAAGACAGAAGAAGACTAAGGCATAAAGCCAGGGGGAAAGCAATTACTTATTAAACAATACAGATAAAGACTAAACAATAAGGACGACCCCAGAACAAAACACTTAAGCAATGAAGCGTACAAATAAGAGATAAAGCCTGAGCCGTAAAATCAGGACAAGACGCATAAGAATAGAAGATAGAAGATTAATCTTAAACATTAAAGAGTAGAAAGTGCCCCCTAAAGAAAAGCAAACTAGACTAAATCGATGAGGTGGGGATGAACTGCCATGCATACACACAGACTGACACCTGACCTTACCAGGAAACGCATGAGTCCTCTCAATACATGAAGAAGCAGGCGGCGCTATGCTTGAAGACTATCCAGAAACATGTAGTCTATACAAGTGAGCAATAGGATGTAAGACTTCAACCTTAAAGGATGCTCACAAGGAGAAGAAAGGAGTAAAAGGACAAGCATGGCGTAAACAATAGTAACCCCAATCCGAGCCATAAAAGCACAGCTTAAAAGAAAAAGACTGCTATAAAAAAGCAGCTCCCACAACTAACGCGAAACCGAAAATTGTGACAACCTAACTCGACCAGATAAAGCTTATACCTTGACGCCTGAATAGTTAAGGCTAGGCAGGAAGAATAATACAGAAACCTTGGATCATCCAGCAGACACCATACCCCATACATGGAGGACCGTGGAACATGAATCTTAGGCTTTGCCAGATGAAAATAATAGCCTAGAGTCATAGGGAGAACTCAAAGAGACGAAGCTTATGCAGACACAACTAAAGCGTGAGAAGTAAAAAATAACAGCAAGGAGTATGCGATGAGCTGGGTAGAAGAAGTTAATGAAGCAACGAACAAACATGCTAGGAAGATGGGACCGTGAGCCTAGCAGTATAACCACCAATCCCAAAGGGGGCACAAGTTGAAATATCCTATACATATGGACCGTGCAAGTGAAGAATCAAAGGAAGAATAAGTGCCAGAAAAAAAAAAAGAAAAAGGAAAGGTCTGAACCCTAGCTCGTGGAGTAAAAGAATGAAGCGGCTCACTAATGAGCCATAAACCTTAAGCATGAAGAGTAAACAAGACGGACAAGTAACTCCCCCTGAGCCAAAAACAATAGACAAAACCAAATAAACCCGAGACTAATCAAATGACCCACTAAATCCTCCTCATGAAGCCTCGTCCCAAGCAGCGACATGCTCAGAAACACCCCAGAAGCCGTATCCCCTGCCAACTAAAGGACCAGTGACGACAGCAGGGCCATGAAGGATAAGGACTAAACCGTAGACGAAGAATCATAAACAACCGAGATTAACAAAGAGAGAATAAAAACAGGCCTATAACATGTAAACCATAAGCACTGAGCCATACATCTACCTTCAAGAGAACTAGATAGTGAGAAATAGATCTTAAAACAAGAACATAAGGCGAACTGCTATCTCCATAAACTATGAACCACCAGACTTCTGCAATCAAGGACACGAAAAAAAAAGGAATATCGCCTAAACTCCAACAACTCGAAATCCTGGATCATAGACAATAATTCGTAAAACCTAAACGCAGAATGCATACGACGAAACCGTAAGCCATAAAGCCTGCAATTCAACCATAAACCCTAAACCCTAAGACGTAAAACCTGACCCCTGAACCCTAAACCATCCACTCTGAGGCTAAACCTAAACCATGACCCCTGAACCCTGAACCCTAGAGCATCAATTCTGAACCTAAACATAAAACTAAGCCCTGCCCCCTGAAACCTGAGCCCTGAACCCTGAACACTAATCATGAAATCTGAACCCTAGACCCTATAACCTTAACCTTAGACCTTAAGCACTGAACCCGGAACCCTGAACATAATCCCTAGGGCCTGAATGCTAAACCGTGAACGGTAAACTTTGAAGCCTAAACCCTGGGCCCTAAGCCCTAAACCCTAACCCATAAACCTAAACCTAAACCGAAGAGCTAAACCCGAACCCTAAACCCAGAACACCTAAGGCTAAAACCTAAACCCTGAACACTAATTACCAAAACCCACGACCGTAAACCCTAAACTTGAACCCTAAACTCCATATTGCTGAACCTAAACCTCGACTCCTGAACCCCCCCCTCCGAAGTCTAATGCCCCCCCTTGCAATCCGGACAGGTCACTTAAACCACCACGTGTCTCATGGCCCCCCCTCAACTCCCCTTTCTTCGCCCTGTCCTTCTTCGTCCACGGTTTGTTCCTTCACCGATTGTTCCCTGAATTTCGACCTAGTCCTGAGGCTTCCCCCCCTCTCCCTGCCTCGGTTGGAGGACGCAGGCTTAAGCCCCCCCTCCTGACCAAATACAAATATAAGCAGCCCCTCCAGCGGCCGGGTTGGAATCTCAGATTTGGGGTTCTGCTTCAGAAGATCTGCAGGAGGGGCGGCATCTGCGTTTCCCCTTCCACCCGGCGGGAGTGGTAATTGGCGGTTTTAGACAGGAGTTGTGTGGGGGTGGGTGGGTTTATATTAAACACAAAGGCTTGCCCCCTTCAGGGTTTCGACTCTTATTGCTTCGCATAGCTGACCCGTTGTGGGTTTTCCCCGTGTCTGGTTCCTCCTCTCCGTTTTTTGTCCCTTCCAAAGAATACCCTATATACCCCATATGACGCCGCTATGGCCAGAATTACCACTACCCCCACTCCTATCCCCACGCCCACCCCCACGCTCGTTGACGCGCTCCCCGG